ATTACGCGAATAGCACTTATCACAAATTAAAAAAGAGAAAAGAAAACAAAAATGTTACTTCTACCCCTTTTAACTTTTCACCAAGAAAAAAAAAAAAACAGAAGAAGTAAAATGTCTCTCTCTCTCTGTTTCAATTTTTAATTCACAATTTAATTGTGTTTCTTTAAATTATTATCCATATCTATTATTATTATTATTATTATTTATTCATTTTTTTCTACAATACTTTTAATTGTATTTATTCTATTCTCTCTCTCTCTCTCTCTCTTTCCTATTTTTTTTTTCTTAACAACATAAATCAATATCAAGTTTCAACCCCTTTTCCCCTTTGTTTCTTTAACAATAATTGCAGCCTCATTTGCACCATTAATTAATTAATTAATTAATTATTAATAATAATAATAATAATAATAGTATTTAAAATGAAAGAAATATTCTAAGATCGATTGCAATTCATCTTTTATTTTCTTTCTTTCTTTCTATCATGTTTCTTTTTTTATTCTTCTTCTTCTTCTTCTTTTTTGTTTTAAAAACATTAAAAAGCAAAAACTTTATGACTTTCATTTCTAATGTAAATTTCATAATATTTCTAAATTGGTTTAATTCACAAACTTTTACATTATTAATATTCTTTTTACTACTTCATTTATATAATATACGTGTGTATTTTGTTTGATTGATTGATTGTTCGTTGTGTGTGTTAAGGATGTGTTTGTGTAAAGTGTAAAAATATTTATATATATACACATGTATATATATATATAAGTATAATACAAGCCATTTCGATATGCGAAAACTATAAGTACACCTACGAGAACAAAAAAAAATTGATTGAAAACATTATCTTTTTTTTTTTTCTTTTTTTTTTTCTTTTTCTTTTTTTAAATCACATTTGCTTAATCATATCGTACTTAAAATTGTTTCTTGTTTTTTTTTTTTCCTATCTTTTTACATTACAACAAAAATTTCTTTTCCTACATCATCCAACAGTTGGATTGATCGATCGATTAATTAATTAATTAATTGATTAATACAATTATTAACCCATTGACAGCTTAATTAAATATATACTAATAT